CCCCCCCCCCTAAATATCAGGGGGGTTATTTATGCCTTAAGAGTGACAGAATCGGGCCCTAAATGACCAGGTATTTTTACTTGTTGAAAATAGGTGACTAACGATAATTTTAAATCTTCCTCCCCCCTCCCCCACCACCAATCTCTTTGTATTAAATAGGATTTAGAATAGTTGGGTTTAATATAGCACATCCCCAAGGTAGCCCTAAGCACTTTACAATGCTGAATTGGATATCAGTAGTGCAGTGACTGTGTAAGGCAAAGGCAGCAGTCATTATGCATTTGGCAGTAGCTCAATGTAATGACCCCCCTGCTGGTTATTAAAGGGGGTATGAATATCTGACATGGGAGGAAAATGTAGGAGGGAAACCATGTGTGGTATAAAAAAATCCCAGCAGCTCTCCACTGTGGGAGGAGAGGAATGTCTCTAAGTTTGGTGTCGGTTTAGACTAAGCTAAATAAGACGGAAGGCTGCCACCGAGTCGGCTGTTTGATGTGGTTATTTAAGGTCTCCTGACCGTTAGTATTAGATTGCATACAATACCTTGGAAATAAAAGGCGAGTTTCACTCCTGACTAGGACAATAGGATTATTCCCCTGTTGTCTTTATTTAACGTTCTGTAGGAATTTGCCCCGAGAGAACAGGAGACGGGTAGGAAAGGCTGGCCTCGTGGCTGTGCAGAGCACGGGACCAGAAGCCTGGGACATCAGCACTCTAATCCCAGCTCTGAAACCACCTCTCCCTCCCATGCTTCCCCATCTGTCAAATACTTAGCAAATCACCTCACAGGGAGGTGGCAAGGATTAGTTACTAAGATAAATTCACCCTGCAACTACATTAGCTTCTGCCAACGCAGGGCCTAATACCAATTCCAAGCAATGGAAAATCCATTTGATGGTGAACTAAGATGGTGAAAGATATCCATAATCTTTCCTCTAATAGCATTCTTGTTAGGATCCAGAAGAGTTTCAAAGACAAGAGGTGCTGAGCCAACAAGCTGATAGGCAAGTTCCTTCTCCTTCCATGCATCCCAAATGAAGCTCTTCTGGTCCTCTGTCACAAGCAAAGCCAATCAGAGCCAACAACACCAAATCCAACCACATCCAACCTAGGAAAAAATGCCCTATCCTAAGGGTCACTGTAGCACAGGATGAAGGAGGACACACTGAAGAACAAGTTACTGCTTATAAAATTAGATCAGGACAGAAAGGGCATTACAACTGTTTAGTGTCACCTAAAGATCTGTGCTTCTCTGACCCTACCTATGAAAACCTAACAAGGAAACTGAACATGAACTTTGCCACTTGGTCTGGATCAGGCAAAACTGTCATGTAAACAAAAGCCAGTGTTTTCCTGTATTAACTGCTAACGCAAACTTCCACTGTACTGCAGTAACCTGTGCGGCAAACAATCGTCACAACCAAATACTGCACTTCACAGCAGTTGTACTGGCTAAGACCGATGGACTAACTTTGGCAAAACGCAGAAGCAGGGGAGGATATAGGAGCATGGTAAGCACATATGATCCTGCTCCTGAGTACTCCTCTGTGAGCCTCAAACCACCAGCAGCTCAGAGACTCATCAGCCAGCCATGGGTTCTGTATATTTAGTAACTTCTAATGGATTTCACTTACATGGATTTGTGTAGCTGCTCCTTGTACACAAAAAACAACTTCCCAAAGCCATACACTGTCAAGATGGGGTTTTCCTTCCTTTCTCTTTTTTTTCTTCTAAGCCTCAAACTGTAGTGTTTTCTACAGGTATAATGTGTAATAAATGTGTACATAAATAAATAGTATTACGGGTATAAATAAATAGTATAACAGGTATAATAAAAATATTTAGTATTTAAATAAAAATTATCAGTAAGTTTAAAAAAAAAAAAAACCCCAAACCCTAACATCTCCTCTTCATTAACACAGGGGCAGAAGTATTTTGGTTATCAAGTAAAAGAAACAGTTACATTGATTCCTTTCCAAGCCGAAGCAAAATATGGGGGACTTCCGAGACATCAGTCTACAAGGTTTTAGCTTTCAGGTAACAACACATACTTATATTACATAGCAGCATACATGTGTGATGTCTGCCACATTTAAGAAACATACATTTTTTCTTCACACACATTAATCATCCTGTCATCAAGATGTCCTGTTACATATATATAAAGGCAACTGAGGCAATTTTAGTCTTCCATGTAGAACTGAATTGCATCATTTCAGTCAAAATAAATGAAGTTAAGTGAA